ACCTTTTATCGGGATGTTTTTTGTACTTAAAACTGCCATAACTTTTTCAAAAATGAACAAATAAAAATAATATTTTTTTGTATTGAAACCTTAGATATTTCCCTTTCATTTGATATAATTTTTTTTGAAAATCTAACACTTATTCTGCTCACTGAGGGAATTTAAAATAGTAATTTTTTTACAAAAAATAACTTTTTCAACTTGATTTTTGATAATGTTCCGGAAATACTGCGTCCTTTAAACATATATAAAATTAAAGCTTATTTTATGTACTACAAAATGAAAAAAAAAAATTTTTATACGCAAATGGCTACCATATTCAAAAATATGCTATTTTTGTATGAAAATTATGGGTTTTGTATTTTATTTTAATAGAAGTTGATGTTGCTTTTGCAATTATCCAACAATTTTTTAAAATTAATCACTATCTACAGATTTGCATCGAAGCGTTTCTTATGATAGTGATTTTAATCACTGTCAGATTAAATCTAGACTGAACCCAACTATGCAATGTCTCCACTATGCCGCGACCCCACTGTGCTACCGTTTTTTATTAAATTCAAAATATGTGTACCCATTTAAAAAAACAAAGTTGACACCCTTACAAGACATAAGGGATGAACATAAAAAGTTTTAAATAGTTAATAATTCAGGAATAATGTGTAACTAAATAAAATAAAAAAAAAAAAAGGTTTAAATTATATTTATTCTGTAAGTAATTGAGTGGGTTATGATAAAAATATCACTCTGTATAGTCTAGTACAGTGGAATTAAATCTCAACACCTATACACCTCGTGCCTGACTGAACTAAGTAGGTCACCTAAAAATTTACTAAACTTTGGTAAAATATTTGTTAAATGATTAGAAACAAGAGAAACTTTATGGAGAACCCTTACATTTTAAATAGAAAAAAAAATTGACCAACCTAATGAATAATCAGGTAAAAAATATTTGTAATACCTCAATAAGTTATCAAAGAAAATCACAACTTTAATAAATGTCCCTTTAAGTCTCAAACAAATTCTATGCATGATGTAGCTGGACATCACACTTGGAATCTAATTTTATAAATTAACATCTTTTAACTTTTAGTATTAATAAAAATGTTTTATTGAAACATAAAGTAGAAAAATAATACATCATTTCTAAGACAGATATTCTTAAATTAATAAATTTGTAAATATTAATAATAAAACTCATTTCCTAAATTTCTTGAATAATGGATGTTTTACGTTTGATCTTCTGAATTCAGCATATACAGCATCATCTGCTCCAGACATTGAACTCATTTTACCAGATATTTTTTTGTAGGTTTTTGAAGTTCCTTCGTATGGCATGCGTTCATCATCTGCATCTGTATCATTAGCTGCTAACACTTTACTTAGTAGTAGCCCTTGATCTTCTCTACTACTATAAAATAACTCTGAATCCTAGTTAATAATAAAAAAAATTATACAAGTTTGGTTAAATAATTTGTGGGATAGAATGTTTAAAAAAAAAAAGATTTTTCATACTTAATTTTTTATTAGATTTTCAAAATGCTGTAAAGCATTAAATGGGCCAAATTTAATCAAGTAAAGATGAATACAGTATATAAGTAGGGGTAAGATAATTTTAGACATTTTTAGTTTTAATGCTAACTTTATATGAAAATTCTCTGTGGATCAGTCAGTAATGAAAGCATTTTTTATTGAGTAATCATCATATGAAAATAAATATAAACATGGCTGTCCCAAATTTAAAAATGTGAGGGGTTGAAAAATTAATTTTTGCCAATTGAATATTTTTTTTTAAACTGTATGACATTTTTTTAATATAAAATTATGGGTAGAAATTTTATTCTAATATATATAAATTTAATCATGATTTATTAAAAAATTTTATGGGGTTTTTAGTAATTCAGATTAGCTATAAAAAAACAATTGTTTATTTAAATTACCTCATCCATTCCTGCAAGTTTCGTTACCACTTTATAGCTATAACCTTGATCAATTAAAAATCTTTGCCTTTTTCTTGAATAACTCATTTCCATAGTATCTTGAGATACTAAGGTGTAAAAAAAAGCATTGTATTCTTCAGCAATAGCAGTTTTTTTGGCTCGCAATATACGACCTAAACGCTGGGCTTCTTGACGACGACTTCCACCATGAGAAGAAATTTGTATAAGTACATTAGCATCTGGTAAATCAAATGAAGTATCTGCCACTTTACTCACAAATATAGTGTTAACTTTTGGATTGAGTTTAAAGTTTTGTAAAATTTGAATTCTTTCAGCCTAAAAAAAATATATATCTTGTATATTAAATAAAAATATATCTTCTGTATTAATTAAAAATAATTATAATGCACCTTTATGAGTCTAGATTTCAAAAGGACATAACTCAAGAAACAAAAAAAAATATTTTCATAATTGATTATCAAAAAATTAATAAAAATAATAAAATGAATTTAATTTATATTGTATTTAAAAACAGAATTTGCAATAATGTGCATGTAAATTCCAAATTGTTAATAAAAAAATAAATAAATGTAATACCTGTGAAGTAGGGCCATAAATATAAGGCTTGCTTAGTTTTAAAGCATACTCTTTGAGAGCAAATACATTATCTGAAAACACAATAGTTTTGTCTCCTCTTTGCTCATGATATCGAATTAAAAACTGACAAGCACGAAATTTATTAGGATTCATAACAAAAAAAAGCTGAAAATTAATAGTAATTTTAAATATAATAATCAAATATTTATAATATGATAAAATAAAAAGATCGAAAATTTTTAAAGATTTGTAGTAAAAAATTATTAAAAAGTTATTAAGTTATCAAAAAAAAAAAAAAAAAAATGCATTTAGATTCATATTTAGCTTTTTAGTACTCCTAGGTTGGATTACTCTTAAAACCTCTTTTTAACATTTGATAACCAATAACATTTGCTTTAAACCTTCTTTATAATTTTTAAGTTTTATTTATATTTTTTTTTTTAGCAAAAATATATGTATTAAATTTTCTAAATATGCTTTTAAAAGCTCTAATACAAAATCTGATATTTTACTTTATTGCAATACCAAATTAAATTAATGTTTAAAAACAATTTTTATTTAAGTTCCATTATACATTAAGAAAAATAAAGGTAATTGGACATATTATACGACACAATGACTTTATAATCAACATCTTAGAAGGGAAAATAATTGGGGAAAAACCAATAGGACGCCCAAGGATACATTTTTTTGAACATATTCTGGAACACATGAACTGTGGGTATTTTGTTTCACTGAAAAATGTTGACGTCAATCAGAGAGGCTTTAACAAAAAGAGATTGCCTTTAATAAATGATAATTATGATGATCTATAATTAAAAATAAAAATTGGTTCTCTCTCATTTTAAAGTAGTATCAACTGAAGTCTTATAAATGGAAACATATATGTTTAGTTAGCTGGAGGAGTAATGTGATTTATATATGTACAGAGATAAAAATATACAGACATAATTTACTCCTCCGCATTAGTATAAAAGTGCTCTTTTAAAATACTGGATCAAAAGTTGTTATTGTTCAGAAAATTTTTATTTTTAAGATTAAATTTAAAAAATTTAACTTTATACTACTTTAATGGGGATAGAAAGAATTTTTTTTGAAAATTATAAAACATAGGATACTATTAACATCTGAAAAGAAAACGAAAATTAATATATTAAAATCAGTAATCATTGTAATTGAATTACTATAATAAAATTGAATAAACTATGAATTACACAATAAATCATATCACTAAAATGAAATATTTTTTAATAATAGATTAATGTATACTTTATTAAACCAAATTTTTCAATTTTATTTCAATTCTGAAATTAGATAATTTCTATTACCTCTATTTTGAGATTATTACTAATTTATAAAAACAAGTATTTACATTTAAAAATTCATTTTTATTTTTAATATGTTAAAAATAATTCATGCAAAATTTCAATTCAAAATGTGATGTTTAACATATTTTTTGGTCCTTTAAAGTTGATTTTTATGAAAGTTTAAAATTTTAAAATGTTGAACTTTTAACCTTTTTTTAGTTAAACTTGCATGTTTAAAATTTGTATCATTATAAATACAAAATTTCATGAAGATTTCAAAAATTTTTTTGTTTAGTTGGATAAATAGTCATAAACTTATATAATTATTATTAACAGTCATTTATGAAAAAAGCCCATTAATTTCATTAAAATCACTTATTATATTTTTTGTATTTATAACTTAATAAATCATTTCAATAGAAATATTAATCATTTCTATGCAATTCTTGGTGTTTAAATAGATGCTATAATTGAAATATTCAAAACTTTATTCCATATAGATATAAGAGATTTAAATCTTTAGTATCAATATTAAAAATCAGTGGTGATAGAAAAAATCTAATTGCAGATTTGAAATCAGCGTAAAAAATTGATCAACAAAAGCATATTTTTGACTGTTATATATTTAAGAAAATTCCTTGTAGATCATTTATTCATAATTAACAGAAGATTATTTTTTGAAAAGTTTTGTATCTAACCCTACAATTTTTGTACTAATTTATAATTTCTCCGTATAAATTATAAAATATCAATGTCATACTACATTAAATTTTTATACTATACTTAGAAATCATAGAACTACTAATTAGGAATAATGCAGGAAATAAGAGTTAATATTGCTTTTGAAATAATTCACCAATTCCTTATGATAGTAATTTTAATCACTAATATATTACCAATATATTAAAATCAGTAATCATTGTAATAAAAATTAGAGTAGACAAACTGACAAGGCTACTATAAATATGTATTTAAATATTAAGGATATCTAAGACATTTATAATCTTCCATTGAATTACATTAAATTACTATGGAGTCAGCTTTTTAGAAAGTTAAACAGTAACTATTTCATTTGTATATGATTATAAATCTATTTTTTTTCATATTCAATCTTCACTCAAAATAATCGATCTTGATGAATAGAATAGCTCATACCATTTTTTTACTAGTTTTTGTAGCTAAATATTCACGATAAAATTCAGGAGCCATAGGGCACCATACTTCTGAGCATTGAACTTTAGCAATATATCCTCTTTGTTGAAGTTCTAACCAGTTGGCTTCATATAATTTAGGCCCAATTAAAAAATTCAAGTCGGCTATTTTATCATCTTCTCTTAATAATGTAGCAGTTAAACCTAATTTACAATGTGACTGAACTAAGGTTAATACACGCCTAAACATTTTAGCTGGTATTGTGTGTACTTCTATAAATTGATAAATTAAATATACTATATGCACATAACATTTTAATAAAAATTCTTTATTACCATCAAGTACCATAATACCCCATTCTTGGTCTTGTATCCATTTCATTGTTTGTTCTGCTTCCCATGATCTTTTTTGGGTGTGTGTAATCATTGAATAGGTAGTAATAAATACACCACAACCAATTAATTTATCTTTTACATCAGATGTAAATCTACATACTAAACTATCATCAGCTATATAAATAAAGAATAGTTAAGGTAATCAACGTGTTTTCACAAAAAAAATTCAAAATATTTTACCTGTAGACCACATTTTAAATTGATATTTCCATTGTTCTACAGACACAGCTGAGTTACATAATACTAATGCTCGCTTTCGCACTGTACAGCAAGCAGTAACACCAACCAAACTTTTTCCAGCCCCTAAAAAAATTTAGAATACTTTGGAATGGTATAACAATAAAAATCCTTGAAAAAAAATTAAAGGAATTTATTAGTTTTTAGCTTCGATGTGAAGCTGAGAAGGTATTAATTTTACTATGTTTTTTTTTTCTGTGTATGTCTGTTGCTACTTTTTCTCATCTCTCACCAGACCGATTTCTTTCAATGATACGTCAAAAGAAAAAAAATTGTATATAGTTGAAGATATTGCCCTTAAGATTTCCCTAATTCTCTGAAAGTAGGGCAAATTTCTCAAAAAATTGCAATTTTTAAAATCTGTAAATTTTTACCTTTTTAAAAACTTTTTTCCTGAAACTACCATAACTTTTTGAAAAATGAATAAACTAAAATCATTTTTATTTCATATCAAAACCTTAGGTATTTCCCTTTTATTTAATATAATTTTTTTAATAATTAGACTCTACCTGTCTAACATTATTTAATCTAATAAGATTAAATTAAAAAATTCAGTACATGATTTATTTTTATACTGAACAGACATATATTAGTGAAGTGCTGTGTCTTATATTATAGTGTAACTTATATGATATCATGCTATAAATAAAATGGTATGTACACTTTTTACTAATATAGCATTAAACTATCTCTTTGGTAAACAATCATCTATGGAGATACATTTTTTTCCCTTTAATGAGGGAAATGATATTGAATAAAATCATATTCTAAATTATGCTGATGCAACCACTAATTCAACCAATAAAAAACCTTTAAACCATTAAACCAAACCATTATCCTTCTAGAGAAAATGCAATAGTATTCAATACTATACCTCAAATTGAATACATTCTTAAAAAAATTAGGACTTATGTTTCTACCAATAAGATATAGTTGGCAAAATTATGGAGTCTCATCCAGTCATAACTATTTGGGATATTTCTATTAAAATTTGTTGTCTTATTAAACCGGCTAAAAAAGTTTTAATATCAAACGTCTGTCCATTCATACCTAATGAAGCTATTGTAGAAGCAATTTAAAATCTTGGTATTACTCCAGTCTTCCAAATGACAATATTCAAATTAGGTACTACTATGGCTGAGTACAGCCACATTTATAATGGTCGTAGACAAGTCTACATTAATTCTGAAGATGCTGAAAATCTCCCTAACTCAAATACTCTAGATCTTGTTGATACACAATTCAGAATATTTTTTTCTGACACAATGTCTTTTGTAATCTATGTAAATCTAGATCTCATACTTCAAACAACTGTCACAAATATAAACCTAAACTAAACATTAACTTTTCACATACAACACAAGATAGTTCAAATGATAATAAAGAAAAGTATTCCTCCTACATTTTAATTAACACATAAGTTAATTCTGTTTAAGATTCGGACATCATTCAAAACAATCATAACATACCTATTAACTTCACTCAGTTTAAAAATATTATTAAACTTGCACAATTCAGCCATGGCAAAGATGATATGTTCTTGGAACTACTTGAAAATTGCCTTGACATTAGAACAATGATATAAATAATGGAAAAAGTTCACCCAGCACTTACAAAAACACCAGCTCTAAAGAATAGTATTACTAGATTTTGTAACTATTTACTAGATCACTTTGTTGGTACTTCACCACAATAATAATAATATACAACAACACTTTTAATTATCTTTTAACGTAATAGACAAATATTTGAACATCATACAATCAAACTTATAATAAACTAGTACGAACCAGTAGCATTATTTATTCAAGAGACTAACATGAAGACTAATGAACAGCCAATACTCCCAATCCTTTATGTATTATACTCTAATATCCATACTAACTGCCACAGAGCATGTGGTGGTGTCGCTATACTAATAAAACAAATATATCCCAGCAAGCAAATACAAGTCAATTCAAATTTTGAAGTTAAAGCAATATCTATTACAATGGAAAAAACAATTACCATTTGTAACATATATATTCCTAACCAAACCAGTTTTACAGTTTCTGATATGACACATTATTAACTAACTTCCCAAACCATTTTTACTAAAGGGAGACTTCAACTATCACGATACATCATGAAGCTCTGACTCTACTGACTGCAGAGGTTGAATTATGAAGGAGCTACTAAAAGAAAGCAATATTGCTCTACTAAATAACAATAATTTCACAAAATTGAACTCCTCAAATGGTACCTTTTCAGCCATATATCTCTTTGCATTATCTCTCTTACACAGTAGACTGAATGGTCAGTACTTCCAGAAATTTATAACAGCGATCACATTCCTATTAATAATAAGATATATTTAGAGATGAATGTAAGCAACTATAACTCACCTAATTCTTAAATCTCCTGACTGGAGTCTATTTACGTTGCTTGTAGAAAACAATCTTGATCAAATACAAGACTTACAGCTTACCAATAAATGACAAAATATCAAGTATAACAAATGCTATTATAAATACAACAAATACTAATAGGCAAAACTAATGTAAGAGCAGGGAAAATTAAATACTTGGGTGGAACACTGAAATTAAACAAGCAATCAAAACCAAAAATAAAGTACTAAAAAAATTCCAAACTTCACATAATATAAATGATTATATTGAACTCAAAAAATGCAGACCTAAAACACATTATTTAATAAACACGGTCAAAAGATAATCCTGGAGGAAGTTTATATCATGTATAACTGCACAAAGTGACATAAGATCTACATATATATATATTTATATATATTAATACATTAGAGTACAGATCCAACGACAATTGGAAACAAAATTAGTGAACATTTCAGTAGTGTAAGCAATTATGAATGTTTTAAAAACCTTGAATTCCTAAATAACAACATACACAACAGATATACTAACCCTCAAGCAGGGTGGTACTTTCGAATCAGGTCGATGGAGGACAACTACCTCTCCTGACCTTTGTTTTGTATCTAGAGACAAGGAAGACCAACCTCTAAGAGTCTCACGACAAATCCTACCTAAATTCCCCAAAAGCCAACATAAACCAGTGATTATAGACATAGGTGTCAATTTTCCAAGGATCAATAAACCTGAAATGCCCAGATGGAACCTACGAAAAGCGAGATGGGAGGTTTACACCAAATACATGGATGAGAATATAAACCGAATTCCTCCTACTCCAGAAAACTACTCAAGATTCAGGAAACTAATAAAAAAAGCAGCTGCCCTAGCGATACCTAGAGGACATAGACAAAACTACATACCATGCTGGAGCAAAGAGTGCGACTTATTATTACATGAATACGATCAATCTGGGAATGAGGTAACAGCAAACCGGTTAATGGTGCTACTAGACGAAGAAAGAAGAAATAGATGGATAGCTGCTATGGAAGAAATGGATTACACACACTCAAGCAGGAAAAGCTGGTCTCTCTTGCAAAAGCTTGGCGCTGTGCAACCTTCAAAGAAAGTTGGAGATATTGCAGCCAATGACATCGCGAATTTTCTTTTCAAAACTTCTAATATCAAACCGCAAAAAACTGGAAAAATAGAAGAAAAGAACTCGCAGAGGAGTTAAGGAAATGCGAAGAAAAGTCGGCACTCATGTCAGATTTCTCTGTTGAAGAGGTCTATAACGCTCTAAAAAATGTAAAAAACAGAAAAGCAGCTGGAACGGATGAAATTCTACCAGAGTTTCTCAAAAATCTTGGACCCCAGAGTATCAGCTGGATCGCAAAACTGGCCAACAATATAGTAAACACGAATACTCTCCCAAAAATATGGCGAGAAACGAAAGTGATAGCTATCCTGAAACCAAATAAAGAAGCTACCAATCCCAAAAACTACCGACCAATATCCCTTTTGTCAACAATGTACAAACTTTTTGAAAGACTTATCTTAGCACGTTTACAACCTTTAGTGGAAGCATCCTTACCAACAGAACAAGCTGGTTTTAGGAAAAACAGAAACTGTTGTGACCAAACCCTTGCACTAGCAACGCATATAGAAAATGGTTTCCAACGCCAAGAAAAGTCTGGTGCTGTCTTTCTAGACCTCTCATCAGCATACGACACCGTATGGAAGAGAGGGCTACTACTAAAACTGACGAAAATAACAAAGTGTAGAACGACGATCAGAATAATGGAAAATCTACTATCAAACAGGAAACTTCGTGTATCACTTCAAACTTTACATATTTCTTATGTATGGGTACAAACTTCTTCAGAATGGGCTTCCGCAAGGATCTGTACTGTCTCCAATTCTCTCCAATGTGTATACGGCTGACATCACCGACACTGTTTCGAGAAAATTCATGTATGCGGACGATGTGGCGCTAGTAGCACAAGCCAAGACTTTCACAGCGTTAGAAAATACTTTGAATAACGATTTAATAAAAATACAAAAATATTTCCAGAAGTGGCAATTAACACTAAACCCGAGTAAGTCTGTGGCAAGGGCCTTCCACCTCAATAATAGGGAAGCAAACAGAGAACTGCACANTTTCCACCTCAATAATAGTGAAGCAAACAGAGAACTGCACATAGAAATAGACGGACAAAACATCGCTTCGGAAGAATGCCCTAAATACCTAGGGGTAAAATTCGATAGAACCCTTACATACAACCAACACTTGGAAAGTGTCAAAAATAAATTGAAGACACGAAATAACGTTATGACCAAATTAGCTGGTACTAACTGGGGCTGCCACACCAGCGTGCTACGAACTACAGCGCTTGCTCTGGTTTACAGCGTTGCTGAATATTGTGCACCAGTGTGGGCCAGAAGCGCTCATTGTAGAAAAGTTGATGTACAACTGAACCATACCATGCGCATTATATCAGGCACTGTTAGGTCAACTCAAACAGAATGGTTGCCTGTACTATCCAACATAGCCCCTCCAGACCTAAGAAGGCTAGCCCACACAAAAAACATGCTAGAAAAAATTAACAGCCTACCCAATTTACCACTCAAAAAGGACATACTTGAGCACCCACCACTACGTTTAAAGTCCAGAACCCCCATATGGCAAATAGAAGCAAACAACGAATCTACAGAGTGCCTATGGAAAAGACGATGGAATCAAATAGAGATTCGTAACCAAGACCTGATCAAAGAACCATCTATACAAGTTCCTGGATGGGATCTTAAAAGGGCACAATGGACAACTCTTAATCGGATTAGAACCGGGCAGGGAAGGTGCAACTACCTACTGCATAAATGGGGCATGGTCGATTCACCACTGTGCGAGTGTGGGGAGATCCAGAAAATCAACCACATCGTGGAGTCATACACGCTCACAAAATTCAAAGACGGGATGGTAAAATTGCATGAGTGTGGCCCAGATGCAGCGAACTGGCTCGAGAAACTTGCTGTACGCTTATAATTTGTAACTTATTTATTACTAAATCATTTATACTGTGATAATTTTTATTGTTCGATATACTTGTTATTTTATTAACTTATTTTTATATTTAACTTTTTATATTCTATATATATTTTTATTTTTATTTATTTTTTTTTTTAAACTTACCTATCATTAGTATTACTATAACTTAATAACTTTGTTACCATTTGGACAGATACGTCATATGCAAATAATAATAATAATAATAATTCAATCATCAATCCGCAAGACTCGAACCAAATCTACATTAACTCGAATCTTACCATAAAAGAGTTTTATTGGGCATTAAAAAACTGTAATAGCCTCAACTCTGGTATAGATGATATAGTTTTCTTTTATTCATATTATGATACCTAAATCACAACAGTATTTGTTAGATTTTTATAATGAAATACGGAGAGTAAGCAGTATCCCCTCAAACTGGTAACATAGTGTAGTCATTCCAATACAAAAAATTGGAAAAAAAATATTTAATCCCCAAAGTTACTGCCTTATTTCACTTATCAGCACTTAAGATAAACTCCTCAAAATATTGACTAACGTCAAGTTAAAATCGTTCATTGAAATATTCAACTTTCTCTCCACTCAATAAAATAGCTTCAAAAACTATAGAAGAACATATGATTGCCTACAAACTATCCATAATGAAATTAATAACTCATTAAAAAATCAATAGAAATGATAAGTCTGGACATAGCAAAAGCATATGATACAACATAGAGGTCCAGAATAGTAAATATGTTATCTACTTTTCTATGCAATAGAAATGTACTCAAATACTTAGCTAATTTTTTTATGTGATCATTAATCTTTTATCAAGAAAATGAAATTCTACAACAATCTATTTCATTCACATTTTTTCTCATATCCATAAATGACATATCAAAAACAATTAAATATCCAGTTAAGTTAATAATATATGAGGATGATCTAGATATACTCTGCTCAAAAAAAGTTTAACAAACCTTCAATCATACCTTCAAGACATAAATAAATTAAAAGAATGGTCTAAAATGTCTGAGCTCTCTTTTTTTTCTGCCACTAAATCCAAATGTATCTTATTTCCAAAAAAAAAAGAAATATAACTAATTTAAAATCAATCTTTATAACACCCATATTCCCCCCCAACTGTAATGTAATAAAAACTTTTATTACATTCGACCGCAAATGCAGCTGGAAACAACATATGAGTAATCTAAAAAAAGAATCTGTAACTAAATAAATAAATTACTAATTCTTTTTAAAATGGAGTATGGATTCATTGTCTATTGCAATATCTCTTTTAATACAATCAACTCACTTTTCACTATATACAATGCTGGCATACATTATGCTCTAGGAACATTCAAATCATGCCAGATATATTACATATACTTACTAAGTAAGTATATGTAATATATCTGGCATTCCCCCCCCCTAAAATTATAAGAACAGGTAACATATTAAAACTTTGCGCTAAACTAAAACTAATGATATACTTACTCATAGTTATATTAAAAAAACGATGGAAGAAAATAACATCAATATAGAAGGAATAATCCCTAGAATATTTAGAATATTTTCAGCATGGTCAGATATATTAGATATCAACAATGAACTACACCACTTGCCCAAACTTTCAACACCTCAAATAATTTGCAATATTAAATTTATAGAACTTATGAACAAACTATACACGGATGCATCTAATATGGAAGGAGTAGGATTGTTTATAGTACTTTAAAACTCCTATAAGACCTATAAGTTACCAAAACATTGCTCTACATATACAGCTGAAACATATGCTATACTGTAGGCAATTGAATATATTCAAGAAAACATTATCTTAACCGATTCTCTCAGCGCACTTACCAGCAAAGTTAATTCAATTAATTCAAATCTTCTGGTGAATTTAATACAAAACACAGTTCACTCATACACAATAAAGGTACATCTATAAAAATAATATGGATTCTAGGACACTCATCAATCTAAGGAAATTAAAAGGCAGACCTACTAGCAAAGAAAACTGCAAAAGCTGACAACATAGTAATAACACCTTTATGCACTATTCAAAACATCAAATCAACCATTAATAAAAATTATTTACTCCTATGGCAACAAAAATGGATAAGTACTGAGACTAAACTACACAAAATAAAACCGAATAACCAAAAACAACTGTGTCTCAATGAAGACACCAAGTAATCATTGACAGGCTCAGAATTGGACACACACAGCTAACTCATGGATATTTAATGAACAAAAGTACTCCACCAATATGCAAGATTTGCGGAGTCACTAACTCTGTCAAACATATTCTCACAAATTGTCAAAAGTATGAACATTAAAGAGAGGCACATGGAATACCTCACCACCCCTCCCAATCTCTGAAACAAGACCTTAACTCTATACAAAAGATGACAGAATTCTTTAAGGTTACCGAACTATTTGATTTAATATAATATCTGTATAACTTATGTGCTAGTGACCAACTTTTATTTACTCTTATTGTTAGCTTAATCTAATTATTTAAATAACTATTTTATTGTTATAAACACTTGATAAACATGTAATCATGGGCAATGGCCTTTGTTGCTGAGGCTTTTATTTTAATATAAAAGAAAAAATGTTTGATTTTATAACTAAAATTAACAATAACATAATTTAATAAGATGATATACTCAAAATATGAACCTAACTGTCAATTTTGACATATGACCAAAATTTTAAGCTTAAAAAATGTTTAAGTTCGTCTAAGTCAACCTACAAATTGGTTGAGTTTTTTTATAAATTTATTATAAACATATATTAATTAAAAAAAAGTGTTAGGATAAATAATTAAGTAAAAATACCACAAGGCAATACAATAATGCCAGATCGGGCACGACTATTTCCAAACATCTTTCTCAAACTTTTTTCTTGGTATGGTCTCAAAGTTGCTTGAGGTTTTAAGTCAATACTAAAAATGATTTATGGCATCAGAAATTACCAAAATATAACTTTTCCATACTTACTTAATATCTTTGTTTACTTTATCATTTTTAAAATCATACTCAACAAGTAAAGGTGTATCAATCTCTATACAACGTTTTTGGATAATTTCAATTTTTTCTTGTTGAACTTCAAAAGAGACTACATTGTGTGTTTTTTCTTCTTCTTCTTCTTCTTCTACTTTATCAATTTTTTCATACAAATCTGTTATATCTTTTGGAACTACTTCATTTATTGTATTCACTTTTTCTTTAGACGTAGATTCTCCAGGAAACTAAAACATTAAGTAATGTAATAATGAAAATTATTATTAAAAATAACTTGAACATTATTTTACATATGATGTTTCAAATTTTTTTTGTTCACTTATTAGTGCATCAGAATCTTCAAGACGCTTGAGACGACATGATCCAATAATTTGATCTTTTAAGAGCTTTTGTAATATATCTGGATGTTGTGATTCAATAAAATATCGGTTATGTTTAAGTACAAGTTTGACTTTACCATAGGACAGTGTACAAACATTTATGAATTCAATTATACCATTAGGAATACTAGTTTTACTTAAACGTTTCAAATATTCAATAATATCATTGGTTTCTAATCCAACACTCACTGCTGCATATAAGGAATAAGCAGTTAATTTATACTAAAATAATAAAGAAGTTTGATTAAACAAAAGTATATAAGTATAACAATATATTAGTACAACTACTTGATTACTTCATGCAAATGAGTTGGTCTACAAACAGGTTCGGCTATAGCTATCATGAAATCATGTGCATGACGATATACTGGGGAATATGATTCTAAAAATATGTGACCATCAGGAGCAACCCATAACGGCCGAGAAGAATGGTCAGATTTTAAAATCATTTGCGATCTATAATCTTTAGCACCAAAGTCATCTTCAACACTGTTAGTATCATGTTCTGCAGATTTTTTTGCTGCACTAGGTAAACCCTCTTAAAACAAAATAATGTATTATTCTAGACAAAAAATTGAACAATTTTAATTGATTGATGTTAATGAAAAAAATATTGAGTACCTTCCTCATTAACGGCTAATAAACCAGGATCATCTAGCCCAAGTGAGTTTTCATCAAATTCATCTTTCTTTCGTTTTCTTCCTCTTTTTTCTAAAAAATGTTTCAGCAAGTCATTATTAAAAAAATTATTACTATAATTATTTGTAAGACATAAATACATATGAAATTGAATGATATTTTTTTTTGAAAGGTCAGGGTACTAAGAAAACACATGTTTAAATACTAATGTAAAGTATCAGTGTAAAAATTATTAATATTAACATGTTAACTTTAGCTAGTAACCCCATATATTACTATAAAGTCAAAATACAGGACCAGTATTAACTTTATATATTCTCTGCATTTTATTCTTATTACATGTATCTTGCAGGGTAGCTCCCATCAGAACATCCGAATGGAGAGCTATTTTACGTTTACACATATTTTTATACTACAAAAATCCATTTTAGAAGACAAAATATGACTGAAACTATAGTAGTTACCTATTTGATTTTATAATCCTCCAGGCTTAAAATTTTTATACTGTTATTGATATTAAATGTTTATTTATATTATTATAATTGAGTATTACACTAATTATATTTATGTACTTATTGTCAAATTTATATAGATTGTAACTAATGGCAGAGATATTTAAAAAAAAAATTAGTAATTCATTTCTTATTAAAAATAAAAGCTATTTTGTAATAAAAATTTAAGACTCTTAGTTAATTTATAAATAAAAATTGTAAAATATAATTTTTCAGTATATTTCTTTCTCTAAACATAATTAGAACAATATCTTTTTCATAATTAAGCTTATATAATTAATTTTTTTCAACTCAAACATAGAATCAGTAATATAATTAAGGGAATAAAGAAGGAAATAGTTATATGCAGCACATTTATAAAGGAAATGTATTAAAAGTATTTCTATTTATTAAATTCCAAAAAACTTATTATTATAATGTATTATTCCTTTGACTGCAAAATATAAATACTCATCTGCATTGAGTACAACCTCAAAAGAAAATTAAATAACAAACCTGGATGCTCTTTCTTTGTTTTGCCCATTTTTAAAAATTAGAATTCAAATTATTTGTTTATCAATGAAAATATAAAAAATAATAATTTATATTTCACTACATCACTATCAAAGTTTAGGAGAAAATAATTTTTTAACCCTAAAAGTTAACTTTTCGTAGAAAATACAAAAAAAAAATTAGTTTAAAACTGGCCTTATCAAAATAAATAAATGTGCTGATAACATTTTTTTTTTTAAAGAATTTATGATAAGTTGCGATATCATAATAGTAGAGATGGAATTTTCGACTCAGTGATATGTATCAGTTCACTTAAATGAGTTGATTTAACGAGTCCTATACCCAACTCCCAAATCGTCGGATCTTTAAAGGGACGATTCTGACTCGTGAGTTGTAGAATTTTGTGGAACGCGAATCACAACTCGTAAGCAGGCCTGTCGATAGAGGGGGGGAAGGTAGGATTCCTCCCGGATCCGAACTTTTTTAGGTCTCCATAAACTAGAGACCGTTATTAATTATTTAATTTGAAAAATATTTTTTGCTTATTTACAAACTGACTGTATACTAACCCAATGATACAATAATATGTGTATATATTCTGAATTTCCAAGAAAAAGTAACTGATGTAAAATTATTTGTTATCGTGTTATTTGCGTCAATACTTAATGTCTGCTGTATTTACGGTTTCACCCAGTGAATAGTACACCGACAACTTCCTGTACATTCTGTCTTTAATAGCCACGAGTTACAACAATTATTGAGAGTTAGGACATCACGATAATATAACAATCAATATTAAGTATCGCGTTGCCGTTTGAGTAGGTACTAGGTGTTAGAATAAAAAACAAAGTATTCAAATTTCAAACACAATTGTAAACAATTGAATTATGCATAATTTTTAACACAAAAACCAAAGGTAAGAATCATTATTTTTTGACAGTTTTAATGTAAAATAATTAATATAATGAAAAACGAATCTCATGAACGAGATGATTCCTTGACGAATCTATCGTCAAACGCGGTCGTACAGACAAATTGATTAGTGTATAATATACACTGTATATTATATAGAGTTAGTGGTGTCGTGACATAATACTTTCTTGAATCCTCAGTTTTATAGATAAGTTCCTATCCATCCAAAATTGTAATGCCAGAATGAAAATTTGATCTGCAGAAAGTACCACAAAATGTTTTCTTTACTTTTAATCACTGTTTTTATAATGATTCTAAGCCGTATATTTACCTTGTGAAATGCGGATTTTATACTGCAAACACCCAATAAACCGCCAGTATATTAGCTACGATGCGAAGCTAAGAAGATATTAATTTTACTATGATGTGTTTTTTTTTATTTTTTTGTCTGAACGCTCAAACTCAGCTCTCGCTGGAGCGATTTTGATGAACAATATGTCAAAAGATCCCATATTGTATCTAATCGAAGACATTACCCTCAAAAATTGAAAAAAAGTCCCTCGTTACTCGTAAACGGGGGAAATCCCCCAAAAAATTACAAATTTAAAAATCGTTAATTTTCGACATTTTTTCAATTTTATTTATTTAAAACTGTCATAACTTTTTTAAAAATGACCGAATCAATATAATTTTTTTTTTATAGATACCTTAGGTATTTACCTATCATTTAATATATTTTTGTGAACATTTGACCCTTTGCAAGCCCACAGGAAGGGTTTCAAAATGGTAACTTTTTTACAAAAAATTAACTTTTTCAAGTTAACATTTGAAAATGTTCCGGAAAGATTGACACTTTTATATATACCTTAAATTAAAGCTAATGTAATATACTTAAATTTGAAAAAAAAAAATTTGATCTCTAGACTTGTCTTTATGTTGAAAATGACTCGCGTATGCAAAAATATGCTATTTTTGTGAAAAAATTCTTTATATTATATTTTACATTTTTTAACATTATGTTAATATAACTTTTTAAAAAATACATGAATCAATTCTATTCTTTAATGATAAATACTTTATATATACCTCTTTCGTTCGACATACTTTTTTTTTTAATCAGACCATTTCCCTTTATACAGTGGTGATTCGAACCTTTAAAAATGCGTATAGAAAGTAGAACTTTTTCTATTTAACTTTTGAAAATGTTCTGGAAAGACTGACACTTTTATATATATCTTAAATTAAAGCTTATGTAATATACTTTAAATTGAAAAAAAAAATTTGACCTCAGAACTTGTCTTCGTGGTGAAAACGGACATCAAAGTTAAAGCAATACGTACGATTTTCGTGAAAAAATTCTCGATTTTATATTTTATATTATTAAATTTATATTGCTTTAACTTTTGGAAAAATGTATGGATCAATATTATTATTTTTGTATAATAAATTTTTTTATACTCCTTTCATCTGACACACTTTTTTTGTAAATCGGATCATAGCTCTTTATATAAGGGGGGTCAAAACTTTAAACATGCGTATTGAAACTAGGACATTTTCAATTTAATTTTTGAAAGTATTCCGGAAATACTGACACTTTTATATATATCTTAAATTAAAGCTTATGTAATATACTTTAATTTGATAAAAAAAAAATTTGACCACTGGATTTGTCTTCATGGTAAAAATGACTACCGTATTCAAAAATATGCTACTTTTATGTTAAAATTCTGGGTTTTGTATTTTATTTTTTTTTAAATACAAGGGGAGTACAGATTTTCATAAATATTATATAAATAAAAATTAATATAGCATAGAAAGTTAAACTTATTTACATTTTTTGCTTTTTAAATTCGAGAAAATTAACTTTGAAATTTGAACTAGCTTAAATAGCCAATTTTTTCAGTCTACGATAACGACGTACGGTTGCCGAGTTTGTAAAACTTGTGCTTTACACGCTTGGGGTACAAGGTTGTTCCAACCCGCATATGGCTAGGAATTTTTTGCATTTTTTCTTTATTCTTTTTAAGATAGAATAAATTTTCAACTGCTTTGATTTTTATCTCATTTAGATTCAATAACTTCAATAAAGTCAAGGATCCCATCACTGTTGTCGCCACTCGCGAGAAGAAATTTTTTATTCATATTAAAATTATTTTACTATATTTTATGTTTTAGCTACGATACAAAGCTGAGAAGATATTTTTTTGTGACTATCATTTATTTTCTCTGCTCTAACTTGACCTATTTTTTTCAACGATACGTCAAATGACTACAATTCGTATCTAGTTGTAGATATTACCCTCAAAAATTGAAAAAAATTTCTAATTTATCAATTAAACAGTTACTTATCTAATTTTCTCCATATAGACAATTAAAATCATTCATTTCTAATGTTTTCAAATTTATTGACGAATCAAGTTTGATATGATAGATTTCAAATACAAAATTAAATCATTTTACTTTATAATTTATTAATTTTTTTACTCTATTTGTGTGTGCTACTACTAGACTATAATATTCCAAATTTGTTGGTAACATGTTGCTATATAAATCATTTCTAAACAAAATTATTGTTAGTTTCTCTTGAATTAACAATCGATTTTTACAATTATAATCAAATTTTATAACACGCTCAATTGAGTAAATCTTTTTAACAACTTTGTTTTGTTTGATTCATTTAGTTAAAGTAAATCATTAAAATTAATTAAGTTCTGAATATTTCAATTGCATAATCTTTTTAAACACCTAAAGTTATTAGGAAATGATTACTATTACTTCTATTTAAGTTATCTATTATGATAAAAATGCAAAGATATATTGAGCTAACTGCATATTAATCTAAACGATACAATTTTTTTAATTCTCATAAAATTTTCTATTTAATGATGTCAATTTCAAACTTGCCAATTGAGCTAAAAGTTATGATAAAATAAATAAATTTTTTTTTAGTATAAACTTTCACAAAAATAAACTTTAAAGGATTAAAAAAATAGGTTAAATAAGTCATTTTCCTTATTTTTAACATATAAATAATCAAAATCAGTATTAATTTAAAACAGTTTTTATTTTGTTCTTTATTATTATTTTTTTATATGTAAATACTTATTTTTTAATAATAAGTGATAATATTAAAACTTAGAAGTAATAGAAAAAGTTTAATTGCACATTTGAAAATATCACGAAAAGTTGATTTAGAAAAGTATATTTTTGTTTCTGATGAAGGTTCCTTGTGGTACAGTGTATAAAACTTATAACTTTGTTAACTGTTAAACTTTATCAAAAATGACCAAATCAGTATAATTTTTTTTTTATAAGTTTATAAGTCTAGTGTATTTATTCATAAGTAACAAATTTTTTTTATTAAAAAGTATTGCATCAATCCCTTTAAATTTTTATACGCGTTAAAAGTATATGAATATACAACTTCTTTCTATTTTTATAATATCTCCGTAAAAATTACAATATTATTGAATATCAATTTCATACTAAATTTAATTACTATAATTATTACGTATTCATATATTATAATTATAAATCGGGATAAAATTAAGGTAATAAGAGTTATAGTTGCTTTTGAAATAATCTACCAATCTCTTAAAATTAAACACTATCTACAAATTTGCATCGAAGCGTTTCTAATGATAGTGATTTTAATCACTGTCAGATATCATCTATACTTGAGTCAACTATGCCACGTTCATACTGTGCCACGACCTCACTGTACTACCGTTTTTATCACGACTTTTTTTGACGTTAAGTTAACAGCAATAATTGATAACGGCAATGAACTGATAAATATAAAATTCAACGATTGCAACGACCCTGACGCTACGTTATACAATATTAAAATAGTAAGTATTATTATAATTTATATTTACTACTTAATTGATTGTGATTAATAATCTATGGGAAAATTAAAAGAAGAATAATTTACTTAAGTAGATATATTTATTTTTATATGGCCTTTTTGAAATCTCGCACACAAAATAAAAACTGAAATGACGCCCCTGACTCGCATAAATATGGTTGTCAAAAGCATAAAGAACGTGTAGAACGAGAATAAAAATGTTTAAAATTTCAAAAGTCAACCAACGCATACTGCCTTTAAATTCTGTGCAAAATAAAAGCTTACTCAGATTACTCTGAGTATAAAAACGAAAACTCAAATACTTTCAAATGATTCTGAAAAAAAAAAAAACCCCAATTAATAATAATAATAATGTTACTAACAATCTCACAAATAATTTAATTAATCCTGTATTAACTGATTTAATTTTAAAAAATCCTGATATAGAAGAATCTGATATCGTAATCGTTGATTATAGTAGTAAACTTGAATGTTTATCAGAAGTAAGTGACAATATTATTTGTTCAGAAAAACAATCAAATTTCCAATCTTTAAGAAATATTTATGTTTATAATTACGATATTGGTGCTTTAAAAACCGAGATATTGCAAACCCAATTAATTGAAAAGTTATTCGTCAAGGTCATCAAAAAATCCCAGCGTCTTTTCCTCATGATCGACCGAATAATCCGTTTCCATTATCATTGCTTTCTAAAATGTTGCCAAATGGTGAAAAAGTAAAACGCAATTGGTTAATTTGGAGTCACTTAAAAATGTTTTTTATTGTTTTCCTTGCCACTTGTTCAAAACGACCACATTAAATTGTTCCTATCTCAGTAGCTCTGATGGATACTCAAAAAATAAAATTAGGAGAAAATTATATAAAAGATTGAAAGACCATCACATGAAAACAATAAAGATCACATTCAATGTTTTATGAAGTGGCGTGAAGTAGAAACACGAACAAAAAATGAAAGTTCGATTGACAAGCTAGTATGCAAACATATTGCAGACGAATCCCAAAAATGGAGAGATATTTTGACACGTATTTGGACACAATTTTATTTTTATTGGCTTTAAGAGGAGAAAGCCATATAGTGGAAAAACGTTGGGAAATTTAGAAAAAATATATATCAGGTTCACTTCATAGTCTATCAAATACAAAATGGTCAGCTAGAATAGATGCTGTAAATCCATTCATGAATCACCTCCCAGGACTACAAAACGCACTAGAAGACTTAAAACAACTTAATTTAACTGCAGAAACTCGTAGCTATCGAAGGTATAAAATACGTCAATAATTTTTATGGCATCTATATGGTTTAAAGTTCTCAGTGCAATAAACGAAAGAAATATTGTTCTTCAAGCGAGAAAATCTACGATTGAAGTTGAACAAATCTGGAGAGTTTAGTAGCAGATTTGTAGCTGATAAGAGATAATTGGAATTCTATTTTACAAGAATGTAAAATAGTTGCCAGTGGATTAATGAATACTTCATCTAAGGTGCAAGTGAGTCGGAAAATAAAACGCGTGAAGGTATTTTCAAAAAACAACGAAGAAGAATTTATTACTACTGACGAAGAAACCGATTTTAAAAGAGAAACATTTTTTGTTATTATAGATTCAGTTATAGCAGAAATATATAACCGTTTTGTTGCAATAAAAAAGTTGAACGACATTTTTTCTTTTTTGTGGCAATTTGTTGCATGGCCTTAAGAGCAAATTCAAAATACTGTAGCTAATTTTGTAAAAAAAGTATGATATTGACGTATCTCAAACTAATAACTGAAATGATTCATCTTCAACATATCTATAAATAAAAAATTCTCATCTAGTTGTTCTCCTTATAAGTTGTTGAACACGATTACATCAAAAAATTTGGATACACTTGTTTCAAATATTTGTATGGCTTTACGCATTTTTTGTACTTTACCAGTTTCGGTTGCTAGTGCTTAGCATTCTTTCAGCGTACTGTCAAGAATTAAAAATTTTCAGCGCTTCTGTTCTACACAGTCGAGAGTTTCTGGATTAGGAACTCTCTGTCTAGAGTCAGGACTGGCTATGCCACTCAATTTTACAGAAGTAATTGACTACTTTGCCTCATCTAAAGCTAGAAAAGCTAATTTTTAATTAACTATAAATGCATTTTGTAATTGATATGTGAAAGATATAAAATTATTAAAAATAATTTAATTAAAAAACTCAAATTTGTACTTTTACTATATTACTTAAAATAGAAAAACTATAAATATGTAAAATTTATTTAGTATTGTGGGAGGGGGTTAGGGAAAGGAGTAGTGACCGTGCCTGCTGGAAACTCTACTAAAAGGGGCTCAATGCATTTTCCTCCTGGGCCTAAACTTTTCTCTCTACGGCCCTGCTCGCAAGGCATACTTGTAGAGTGCCTTCTAAATGCACCTTAATAAATATCTTAGCTAGATTAATATCAAATATGAATTATCAATGAACTATTGTTTTACACAAGTTTGAATATTAATTCATTATACTGAATGTAAACAATTATTATTTATTAACTACTATTGTAAAATGAAATATAATATTGCTATCAATAATTTTTTATTCATTATTTGTATATATATATATTGGAATTAAATTAAACCGTGAAAGAAATGAGAATCAAACTCAAATTGTATGTACATCATTAAAAAAATTATTGGTTATTACTAATTAGTAATTTTATGAGATGATAGACAGGCTGATAGGGCTTTAAACCCTGATTTTTACCTAGAAGATGGATGAGCTAACTTTAAGTTGAATTTTAAGTTCAAAGCAATTTGTTGCATCATAACAGATAAGAATACGGCATATTACTATAGATGTAAATTGTTATTTTAATAAGCAAACAATTAAATAATTATTCACTTTTAAAAATCAATTAAAATATTTATACTTATAAGATACACACACCTAATAATTTAACCACTCTTAATCAATATATAATTTAGAATATTTACTAAAAAGATTTCTTTATGATGGAAACTTTCATTTTAATGTGTACTTTTGACATATTCTTATATCTGATTACCATATATATATTACTATTTCAATTTACAAACATAATCATTCTCATATTTAATATTTGATAATTATTAATTAATTTATGCATACAGTAGAAAAATAAGTAAATATTTATACTACTAAATAGTAAACATATATATTTTTAAAGTACAACTATATCAACATCTAATTCCATAAATTGCCATACCGCCGTCTCTTCAGAAATTCCATCTCAATCTTCTTTATCTAACGAACATGCAGTTATTAATCATGATCGAAATTCTAGATTTGTAAATAATTCAATTTCTCAATACTTATCAAAGTCATTGGTTGCTTCACGTCGTAAAACGATTTATCAACAAATTCTGAAAATGATTGTCAAGGAATACTATCCTAGTATCGTTGAAGATGGAGAGTTCGTCAAACATTTAAAATTACTGAATCCTGGATACACACTTCCACCGAGAAAAACTCTTTCAAAGATATTATAACCTGTAATGTACAATGAAATGTATAATCAAGTGAAAAGAGCATAAGAAGTAATACTAAATATGTTAGTATTACTACCGATAGTTGAACTTCAGTTAAAAATGAAAATTATATTGCTGTTACATGCCATTTTATAGATAAAGATTGTCAATTAAAATCATATCTTCTTTCTTGTTTTAAAAACTCTGAATCACATACATCAGAAAATTTGAAAAATGATTTATTAGCAGTTATAAATGAATGGAGCTTGGGTAACTGCATTGCTGTATGCACAACGCTCACAATATAGTTAATGCTGTTAATTTGCGTGGGTGGAGACATGTAGGTTGTTATGCTCATACCTTAAATTTAGTGGAGCAAACAGCTTTTAAATCAATATCTGCAATAAGAGATAAAGTAAGAGGAATTGTAGATCATTTTAAGAGAAGCCCTCAAGCAGCTAAATTTTTTAAAAATATGCAAATACAATTAGGCTTAACGCCACCTTTAATGTTGATTCAGGATGTTACCACTTGGATAAACATCTCATATGTTGGATATCAACATATGAGATGTTTCAGCATATTCTAGATCTTAAAGTTCCTCTATCTTCAGTATTAGTTTATTGCCATTATTATGCTTATTNGTCGCGGTCGCTTCTCATTTCCGGTGTTACCACCGGATGGCGATCGCGGCGCTTCCTCTTCACGTCCGACAGGTCGCGCTATTTGCGGTGACCGACGGGCGGTGAGAACCGGTCGCTCGGAGCTGGATATATATTGATTTTTTTTTTTTCTTCGATCTGTCACGCTGACCTTTCATGAGGAACTAAAGATAATTTTATTTAATTATTGGATAATTAAGATTATTGTTGTAGTGACTAATAAAAAACGCTATTGGTTTACTTATTATTATTATTGTTATCATTATTATTATAATTACTACCCCGAACACATCAAGTGGCGCAGTCGTATAAGGAATTTTTTTTTGCAGACTCTGAATTTATTAAGGTAAGTGCTAAATAATTACAGCAATTATTATTTGTAGCACCCTTAATAAAATATTTGCAAAATAAGGAACTTAAAGCTNATAAAAAAAGCTAATTATTTCGAAGACATGTGAGATATTAAAATATTTTAAGGAAACAACAATAGAAATAAATAGTGAGAAATCTGTTTTTATTTCAAAATCTATTGTATTTAGTCGAGCACTTCTTAAGCATTGTACTCATTTGGAAAATCAATCATATGATTCACCACAATTAATAGATATGATTTCCAAATTAAATCAACAAGTACAACAGAGATTTGGGTCACTTGAAAAAATACAAATTTTAGCAGAAGCCACAATTCTTGATCCAAGGTTTAAAAAATTTGAATTTTTCAGTAAAAGAGCATTTTTAGAAGGAAAAAACATTAATTGCTAAAGATACACTGTTACGTATTGAAATTAGTACACCAATTGTGATACAAAATCAACCTTCTGTTATTGGAGGAGATTCTATCTGGAACGATTTTGATGAAGAAGTAGTCAACTGATATCTACAAATCCAACTTCTGCAGCTATCATTGAAATTAATAAATACCTCCAAGAAGGGTTAATTACAAGAAATGAAAACATTTTAAAGTGGTGGAAAGACAATCAAAATGTATATCCACGTTTGTTTGAAATGTTACCCATCCCTGATATTTTCCATACAGAGGCGCATTTCAAGGTATAGCCCTAATATAGATCGTAATCGGGCTCTGCATTTTATATTTAAATGGATTTTTTTGTTTATTACAATTTCGTAAATTTATATGACCCTAATATCTTAACACGATCAAAAAATAATTAATACTTAATAGATCGACTAACAATTTGTACTTTGAACCACGTTAAAGATACTCATTTTTATTACAATATCTTGATACTGGGATTATAATTGGATATGCGGTCAAAACATGATGTATCCCATTATAGACTAAACGAAAGCGTTTGGGCAATTTTTGGTATATTCATATACGTAAAAAATATTCTTGAAATATGTCTATAATATACGAATATAATTCGTACATATTTCGTATATATGATACGTACAAAAATATACTTATAATGATCCTAGATGTTACATATAAATTTAGATTTAAGTTTTATCAATTTTTGGTTGATATTTTTACATGTATTTTGAGACCAATTAGTGATTGATTAAGTCCGATTATTTGTTTTTTTAGTTACATTTAATTTTGCAAAATGTATTATTCGTTTAGAAAATCATTTTCTTAATTTTGTATTTATTATAAATTAGAGCAGAAATCTAAAATATTATTTTAACACTTTACTATTTGTCTGTTTATAATTTAACTATACAATGTTAATTATAATGGTGTAGTTACCATATTATATTTTTTTTTTACTATATAATATTTATTATATAAATATTATGGTGTTTATTAAGTAAGAAAACAAGTTTCTATTGTTTTCATTGCTTGTAACAATTAACATGTGCTCTTACTTATTAAATATTTTGTAGAATGCTTTAAATATTATTTTATCATTTTATTTGTTATAATGTTTTTTAGCTGTTTTGATAAAAAAAGGAACTTAAAAAAAATAATAATAAAATATAATTATCATCGGAACATGTATTACAAAAGACATTAATTAACGTATGATTTCGAAATAAAAATCTCAATAAATGATTAATACTAGTTAATTTAGAAATTTCTCAAGTTTGTATTTAATGTTATTATAATCGAATCAATATATTTGTCAACATACATGTTTAAATTTTAATTTAAATCATATTGCCAATTGGAGAATAATTATTACAAATATGTTATATTATTTAGTTATACTGAAAAAAATTCATCCACGAGCTTTGCTAAAATTAAAAAAATGTATTTACCAATGAGCTACCTTTATTCCAATACAAAGCTGTATTTATCGAATTATTATTAAATAAATTAAGGGTACGGAGGAAAATTGGTTATTATCCATTTATGTGACAATAAAGAGCAAAAGTTATAAATTCCTATCCTTTTAACAATAAAACACATTTAAAATTAAAACAAAAGTTTTTCAACCAATGGATGTCATTATTTGAGATGACCTAAAACACGGACTGTCCCCTACTGACGACAACTTCCAAAAAAATCTAGTTATATTGTATAATAACTACCAACGTATATGCTATTGCGCCGTGTTTGTAAGTTTGTAACTCCACGCGGCACGTGTTATTATGTCGCGNCATCACCGTCCGATCTCCTCAAAATTCCAATTTGGTCCTACCAGCAGATTGTCAATATAATAACTACCAATTTAGACACCATTTAATAGTCTATTTAAAAGAATGGTTTAAGTGTAGTTTACCAAGCACCCTTTTTTTTAATTATTTTTTTTTTTAATTAGGTAGTTCCTTATTGTGGATAAATAATATGTAAAAATGTTTGAGCAAAAACAAGTGATTCAAAAGTTACATTGTTTTAAAATTATGAGGTTTTTTCTATCATAATTTGATTAACACTTTGAGTTGACTCACTCACGAATTACCATCCCTGCATAATAGATTATTTTAGCTTCGATGCGAAGCTGAGAAGGTATTGGTTTTATTAAGATGTGTTTTTTTTTTTTGTGTGTCTGTTACCACTTTTTCTCAGCTCTCACCGAACGGATTTCTTTCAACGATACGTCAAAAGATCACAAATCGTATCTAGTCGAAGACATTACCCTTAAAAATTGAAAAAAATTCCCTCGTTCCCCGTAAATGGGGGAAACCTCCAAAAAAATTACAAAATTAAAAATCGCTAATTTTCGAAATTTTTTCAATTTTTTTTACTTAAAAGTGCCATAACTTTTTCAAAAATAAACATATCAATATAATTCTTTTTTATATAGATGCATAATATCATTACCTTTCATTTGGTATATTTTTTTCATAAATTTAACCCTTAACCTGCCCACAAGGGGGGATTTAAAATGACAACTTTTTCACAAAAAATTAATTTTTTTAACTTAAATTTTGAAAATGTTCCGGAAGGTCTGACACTTTTATATATATCTTAAATTAAAGCTAATGTAATATGCTTTATCATGAAAAAAAAAAATTTCGGACTTTATCTTATCTTCATGGTGAAAATGGCTACCGAATGCTATTTTTGTGTGAAAATTTTCGATTTTGTATTTTCCATTTTTAACTTTATTATGCTATAACTTTTTGAAAAATGTATGAATCATTACAATTTTTTTATGAGAAGTAGTATTTATATAGATCTTTCATTCGACATACTGTTTTTTTAAATCGGACCATTTCCCTAAATACAGGGGGGATTCAAAACATAAAAATGCATATAGAAAGTAGAACTTTTTCAACGTAACTTTTGAAAGTGTTCCGGAAGGTCTGACACTTTTATATATATCTTAAATTAAAGCTAATGTAATATACTTTATAATGGTAAAAAAAAATTTCGGACTTTATTTTATCTTCATGGTGAAAACAGACATTAAACTTAATAAAAAAAATACGATTTTTGTAAAAAAATTCTTTTTTATATTTTTAACTTTATAATGCTATAACTTCTCGAAAGATGTATGGATCAATATAATTCTTTTTTTTGTAGATGCATGATGTCTTTACCTATCATTTGGTATATTTTTTTTATAAATCTGACTTTTTACCTGCCTACAGGGGGGGATTCAAAATGACAACTTATTCACAAAAAATTGACTTTTTCAACTTAAATTTTAAAAGTGTTCCGGAAAGTCTGACACTTTTCTATATATATTAAATTAAAGCTAATGTAATCTACTTTATTATGTAAAAAAAAAATTTTGGACTTTATTTTGTCTTCACGGTGAAAATGGCTACCAAATGCTATTATTGTGTGAAAATTCTCAATTTTATTTTTTACATTTTTAACTTTATAATGCTATAACTTATTGAAAAGTGTATTGATCAATATAATTTTTTTATGGGAAATACTATTTTTTAATAATCCCTTTTTCATTCGACATACTTTATCTTAATCAGGATATTAATAAGGATCTAGCAGTTTATGAAGCTTTTGGAATAATCCACCAATTTTTTAAAATTAAACACTATCTAAAGATTTGCATCGAAGCGTTTTTTTTTGATAGTGATTTTAATCACTGTCAGATATCATTATACTTGATCCAACTATGCCACGTCACCACTGTGCCGCGACCCCCCTGTGCTGGGTTTTTTTATTTACTGAAGGAATTTAATGTATTTTCATAAAAAAACATTATTTGTTAAGAAGACAACGGATATTAAAACATTATACATACACCATAGATGTATAATTTGTTTTATTATATGTGTGATATACGGTTTGTACCTAACCCGTGCTATAAATAACAACAACAAATTAAATTAAATTTACTGTAAATATTACAGTAAAACTAACCATCATAGTTTGTAATTCTACTAATTACGTTTAGTCAGAATAACTGAATCAATTCGGTTGAGAATTATGGTAGTATTTATCAAAGTATTCGGTAAATTCAACTGCACAATATAGTTCATATAGCCATAATATAGTATGAATGTGTAAAAGTTTTCGTGGATTGCTTGAAATATTTACGTAAATATTCACGTTTTCTGTTATGAGCTGACGTTTTGGACTCGTTGTTTGGACCCATTTT